TAGTTAAGGATTTCATGGAGGGACAGGACACCGTCCATGATATTTCTCCCTTTTACAAAGGCGTTCTGAGTAGGGCTAATGAGTTTGTTTGCATATATGGCAACTCTTTGGTCAAGGACTTTGGTGATCAACTTATATGGGCATCTCAACAAGCAAATAGGCCTGAATTGTTGGATTTTTTCGGCTCCAGAAACTTTAGGGAGCAGAGTAATAATTCCATAATTAAGTCGCTAAACATCCAGAGTCCCTTGGTGGAAAGCTTTAAAAAGGGCCATAATGTTATCTTTAACTATATCCCATCACACCTGATAGAACTCAGTAGGGATATTATCGGGTCCAGGGGCTCTATTAGGGGCCATGTCAAATAGAGCCTCCTTGACCTCCTGTTCTGTAAATTCTCGGCAAAGATCTTTATTATCTTTTTCGTCTAATTTCTCTTCAAGCGACCAAGTCCCCGGATCAAGATGGATCTGGTTACCAGGTGCTGGTCCAAACAGTTCTTTGTAGAACTCAGTGGCATGTGCAATCAAATTGTCCGTGCCTTCAATCAATGTCTCTCCCATTTTAAGTGATTGGATTGTATTTTTACGTTTCCGCCCATTAGCAATTTTGTGATAATAGTCAGTATTTAGGTCTCCTTTGAGCAACCAGCGCTCATGAGACTGTTGAAGCCAAAATATTTCCTTATTTACCAGGATCTCATAGAGCTCAGTGTTGATATCCATTTTCCTACTATATAAGTCAGGAGGCAACATATGTTCTTCTTCCAGTCCCTCAAGCATAGCTAGTTCCATACGTAAGTCCTCTTTCCTCTTCTTATCGTGACCATACTTATCCGAACCCCAACCTTTGAAATAAGTTTTGAATCTTTTTAGCTTGATATCCAGGACATCGATTGGATCTGACGAAGCAACCTTCCTAGCCCAAATCCTCCACACAGTGGGCAGAAACTTGTCATCATTAATCCAGGACAGATTAAAGCGAAATTCACGGGGTTTTGGGGCTTCGCGCCCCTCTTCCCCGGAGGACAACAGAAGTGGATTATGATCAGAGATCCCCCGAACTAATTTCCTCACAGAGACCAGTGGGAAGATATCTTCCCAGCACTCAGACATAAGGATTCGGTCTAGTTTTTCTAGCGTGGGATGAGTCTGGTTGTTGGTCCAGGTATATTTCCCCCACTGATATGAATTTCCCTAAGAGCTAATGTATTGATAATGGAGTTAAATAGGTCAGTGGCTTTGCTGTTCACCATCTTCTTATTCTTCTCTCCCGAATGTCTCAGGATATTAAAGTCTCCCCCCACTATGTAGGGCACGGTCATGCCACTACAAAAGGATGCTAGCTCAACCAGGAATTCATTTTTGAACTCATCATGTGCCAATCCATAAACTACCAGTAAACCCCACTGTATTTTCTTCTTTTTGTCATACAGCACTAGTTGTAACACATATCTGCCCTTAGCACAGGATACTATATCAAAAGTATCTCTCCTCGCACCACATAAAATGCCCCCAGATTTGCCCACAGAGGGCACCCAATTCCATTGGAATATGTCAAAGGGGTCAATTCTTCTCAAACACTTAGGTGTGAACTCTTTCTTTATAGTTTCTTGTAGACCCAGGAAGTCAAGGGAATGGTCACTAATCATGTCTGAGAGGCAGGTGGGCATCCCTTTCTTGCCCACCCCTCAACAGTTCCAAATGAGGCCTCTCATTTGGAACGTTTTTTGTGGAATTTGGCCCAAGTAACCCTACCAGGAGACAGGGCAGGGTTACATAACAAATCTCCCTCAGAATTTTTCCTTTTCTGACTCCTAGTCACAGGCCTAGGAATTTTGACATTAGATTTATTATGCTTTTTCTTTTTAGGCTTAACAGAAGAAACACACTCATAAATATGTTCTTCCTGGTCTAACCATTCTAAATTCACAGGGGTATCCCTGCCCAAGCCATCTGTCACAATCAGGTTATCCTGCTCTTTTTCAGTGTTATTATCCTCTTTTTTATCTTCTAATTCTTTTCGGGCACATTCAAGCTCTCTAATAATGTCAACAACAATGAAATCATCATTGGGTATATCTATCCCTATCTTATTAGCTCTGCTAATCAGCTCATTATAAGAAAGCACATCAAATGAATTTTTGAAGGCAGGAGTATTATTACCTTCCAGATTTTTCTTACTAGCCATTTTCTTGGCCTTGTCCTCCACCTTGTCCTGCATTCCAGAGATGTTACGCTTGCTGAATCTCAGCGGGGCTTCAGGTGCTAGCGGAGGAGTGAGAATGATCTCTTCAATGCTTCTAGAGGATGGAAGTTGTACCACATAGCTGCATGAAGTCTTTAGCCCAGGGTCCACCTCAGCAGTTACCTCCACAATCTGAGAAGGGTTAGAAGCAGTCTGACAGGGTGAAGCAAATTTATTATGTATGACTTTCTTCACCTGAATATCTTGAGTAGTATTCTCCATGACAACAGGATTCCTGGGAACAATCCAGTTAGAAGACTCTACGTCACCTTCCTTCATATTCTCCTCAATTTCTCTCTGTAATGTTTCGATAAGCAGAGAATTATCCCCATCACTTTCAGTAGAAGGAGATCGCTCTTTATCATCGTATAGTAGGCGACAGGCCTTGCCACCATGGTAGGAACCCCCAATATTGCCATGCCCAGCAGACTCAGGCTGCAGCATCCCCTTCTCTTGCTCAGTATGTTTCCTCTTAGGAGTTTGATCTGGCTTGGTCCTTTCATCAGGAATAGGATCAACAGTTTCTGCATCCACATAATTTTTAACCAAAACTTCCTCAACCTCATAAGTAAATCTGTAGAAGTGTCATGCAAGCACCCCTTCAGCGGTGGCAGGAAGTTGAGCTATCGATCTACAGCCGATTTTAGCTCTGACAGAAGATGGCCGATTTATAGTTGACATATCAACTTCCAGGGTAATCCCAACTAGCCCTCCCACATAAGCTACAGTTTTATCGCATCTTTTGTTGGGTGGAATTTTTCCAATCTTAACCCAGGCAATCTCTAACAGTCCCTCAGAATCAATATCTTCAGACCAAGGAGAAAATTTGACACTAACCCCACACTTTCTCAATTTAATATTTTCAACAAAAAGAGCTCTGTCAACCTCTCTAGGGTTCGGCATCCTCATGACAAACTTTTGTGGAGCAAAGAATCTAGCAGAGCAACGCCATCCCTGGCCAACGTACACACTCAACTCATGCTCAATGTCTTTTGTTTGAGTAGAGCCATGAGTAATGGTGACCACAATGTTGAAAATATTATCCCTATTCTGCTTGTCCACGCTGTAATCAGGAATGTAAAAGAAACCCTGACCCTTAGTTTGAAAGGCACACATCACAGGAGTGTAATCCCAAGGGAAGAACTCATTGTAGACAAAATACAGGTGACCTCTCTTCTTACATCTCTCGCAGAAAGCCTGAGGACATCTAATAGTGAAATGCCCAGGCAGATGGCATATCTGACAAGTATCACAAGGGGGAACGACAGTACCAGAAGAGGAGTACTCGCGGTTAGCAGCAGTGGTGTTGTTCTTGTCGAAGGCGTGGTGAGCCTTGTCTCCGGCGTCACCGCCACGCATCTCTTGACGGTGGAGATGAGGCGCCAGCTGCCCCTCGGTCGCCGCCGGCTCCTGAGAGTCCTGCAGGTCACCGCCATCCCCATCCCATCGGGACTGCCGGGTTCGGTTCGCCTGCAGGCCGCCGGCCGCCTCTTCCCACTTGTCGTTGGTGGTGGAGGAGCTCCCCATCTCCGTCTTGCGCTTCCAGACGTGGAAATCGAAGCCGCGGCCGCGGCCACGATCGAAACGCCCAGCGCCGCGCCCCTGGCGGCCCGCACCAAATCCATCTCCTCTCATCTCAACAGGCGGCTTCTCTTTGGATCTAGCAGCAGGATTCGTGAGAGATCTAACAAGTGGCTTCTCTTTGGATCTAGCACGGTGATTTGTGGGGGATTGAGAGGCAACTACTTGAGCAAAAGAACGCAGGTCGCCATGGATTTTGCCCTCCCACCAAGCAAAGCTAGGATGAACCCTAGATCTGGCGAGAGATGAAGCGCTCCAGAAGTGGGCGAGCCCCTCGTCGAGATCCAAAATGGGGGAAGGGGTGGCTGCCGTACGCTTTATACCCGCGGCGCCCCCAGAAACCCTAGCTCCATCGCTCTCATGGCGGTTGGATCTCCCCTCGCCTACGTGTCGCGCATCCGCCCCATGGCAGACCGGTCCACGCCCCAGGACCCCGGGTCCGTCTGTCATACGTGGCGCTCGGCGGTGCACGTCCCGATCCGCACGAACGCTCCCGTGTACCGTGTGCCCGCGCGGTGGGCCACGCGACGACGCATTCTCGCCAGAAAATCTTCCGTTCGCCGGAGATCTGTCACAAACTCTGGCAAAATGACAAGGGAACACGACGATATCCCCAATATCGATCCACTCACTAGGCTGAAGGTAGCGTGCATCTACCATGTGCCCCCTGGTGTCGAGCAGCACGATGAGGAGAGCCTCCCCGCGCAGCCAGAGCTCGCTGTCGTCGAACGTGACGTGACGTGCGGTCGCTAGGTCCGCCGCGTAGCGAACCCTCCAACGTACGTCGCCCGCCATCTCCTCCCTCGGCGTACAGCTAATCTAGCTGCTCATGTTTTAGCTAAAGTGGGGGTTAGCAATGATTTAGAGATCGTGTGTGAGAATTTGATGGTAAAAAAGATCGTCAATGTCACTTAATATGTATGGGAATATTAAATGTAATATTAACATAATTGATATTGAACTTTTAAAGTTAACGTGGCCTTGTTGCAACGCACGGAGGTTCTTCTAGTACATTTGTATAAAAAGTATTCTTATATTATGGGACGAATGGAGTACTAAATTTTGGGACGGTGGGAGTATAAATGAACCGTATAGACACCGCTCCATCTGTGCCCTTCGCCCCAGGAGTCGGTCAGTCTCTGAACGCCGCCGCGCGCGCGCGAGAGAGAGGCATGGCGGCCGCACTGCTGCCGGAGACGGCGTCGCGGCTGCTGACTCCGGAGACCCTCCGAACGGCGGCCAAGCAGTCTCAGGGCATCCACCGTGTCCCCATCTCCCTCCGCCGCGCCATCAAGCGCTACCTCCGCGGTAACTCCCCTACCCACCCCTCCCTCCCGCCCACCACCTGCTCGACAAATTGCTCAGCGCTAACACTTCACGGCTGCCGCCGTGCTCGCGCAGACCAGGACAAGACGCACATGCACCGAAAGGTGCTGCTGCTTTCGTCCTCCTTCGAGCGCGCAAAGGGCACCGGTGCGGAGCTGGCTGCGGCGTCAACCCGTAGCGCACTCCTCGACGACCCCCACGCGCCTGCGAGCGCCGAGCAGCGGACTGCACGGTGGAAGGTTCAGTCCTCCTACGGAGATACCGGCCTTCTGTACCGTGAGGATGAGACGGTCGCGTATGTCGCCTCCCGCATGCCTGCAATCTACGCCGCATGCCACCGCGTGCTCCGTGAGGTCCGAGAGCCACCAGGCCCCCTTTTTGTTGTTTCCGTCCTCAGTGAGTTAAATCTGCCCACTGGGATGTTTTCATGGACTGAAGCGTGGCTTCGCTGCAGGTTCGTCGTCGGTCTCCAGGTTTTGCACCTAAGAACGTGTTGGACTTTGGAGCGGGGCCAAGCTCAGCACTTTGGTGCGTATGACCTATTTGACAATTTTTTTATTAAGTTTTCTCTTCGCACAACCTAATGTCGCTACAAGAATGCAGGGCAATGAGGGCAGTGTGGCCAAAGTCCATAGAGAGGGTTAATTTGATCGAGCCCTCCAAAGAAATGCAGAGAGCGGGACAGACCCTTCTTGATAGTAAGCTAGGCTCTTTCTTGCTTAAATGATACTCCTCTGTACCAAAATATAAGACGTTTTTGCAGTTCAATTCAATGAACTGCAAAAACATCTTATATTTTGATACGGAGGTAGTACAATTCATATCTCAGTAATGTGATTGATTACTAGTATGTCGGAATTTGGTTCAGTATAACGATTTTTATCATGGAAACCAATACCATAGCCACATTGCAGCAAAGTTATTTTGAACTTTGAAACGTAAATCGCATTGTTTGTCTTTTGTCTGCGTAACTTGGATTACTATTTAGTGGTCTTCACTTACCAATTCCATGGTGGTGCTTTTAATGGCAAGCACTGAAAGTATCTGATTGCTTTGTTAGTGCCTTGCTAATTTACATCTGTGAATTTGCTGATAGATTTTGGGTTATACTGTTTGCTGTGCAAATGTTTATATATTTGAGGGGCTTGCCACTGTCTACAAATGTTGCTGATAAATTTATCGGCACTGTCTAATCTGCAAATATTTTCAGATTTGAAGGGATTGCCACTTATCCACAGCTATGATAGCATCCAAGAGTTGAACCGCAGCATCGAGAAACATGAGCGACGTCACGACCTTGTAATATCAGTAAGTTTTTACCTCTTTCCTCTGTAATGTTTCATGTGATGGTGGTTCAACAGGCAGCGCAATTGAGGAATTACTACACATCATGCTGTATTGAATTGTTTCTATTATAGTTGCTTATGTTTCAACCTGAACTGAATATTTTTCCTCAATCTGTAGTCCTACGCACTTGGGGAGATTCCTTCATTGAATGACCGTATAACAATTGTGAGGCAACTTTGGGACCTAACAAGAGATGTTTTGGTATAATTACCCCTTCTCTCTCATGTTTGTGCGTGCTTATGGGGGATATCTTTTTACTTTTGTATCTGATAAACATGATTCATTTTAAGGTTTTGTTAGAGCCTGGAACTCCTCAAGGGTCAAAGATTATAAGCCAAATGCGCTCATATATCCTTTGGATGGAAAAGAGAGTATGTACTCAGTTCATGATTAAGTATTCAGATATTTGACATATTCCCTGACAGTGTAGCATTTAATTGCATAATATTTGTTCTCCCAGAAGTGCCGCAAGAGCGGAAAATCTACAGCTGCTGCTCCAAGTAAAATGAAGAGTATGGTTCTTCAAGAAGATTTGCTGAAAGATGGTGCCTTTGTGGTTGCCCCCGTGAGTTGAAACTGCAAATGCTCCAGTCTTAGTGTGTGTTTCCAAGTAAAGCTAATTTCGTTCTATCATATCAGTGTCCTCATGATGGTCGGTGTCCATTGGAGAATTCAGACAAATACTGCCACTTTGTTCAGAGATTGGAGAGGACGTCATCACAGCGTATCTACAAGGTTCGTTTTCCTTTTCACCTGCTCTATTACTTTCCTTTCATGTTGTATGCTACTATGTCTTTCTTAGGATGCATTCTTGTCAGTTAGTAGCGAAAATTTACATACCATGCATCTGAATCACTAAGAGATATTGATATCACAATCATCTATTAATCTCGGATTGAAAAATGCTATCCGGAATATGAGTTGCATGATTGATTAGCAGTTTATGCATCTAGGATAGGCATCAAGCTCTCCAAAATCGTGCTGATCTCAAACCAGTACTTTTAGCAGTAGAGGATCACAACAAATCTTAATATGCTTTTGAACACTATGCTTTTCACTTTTGAGGAGCACACTGAAATAATTCCTTTTTCAATTTCTGTGTAAGATCTGCAAAATTGTATACACATTTTTAACAAATAAACAAACTTCGTAATTATTAGGCTTTTAAACCCTGTTTTAAATGTTTAATGCAGAGGTCAAAAGGTGTGCCTTTGCGTGGTTTTGAGGATGAGAAATTCTGTTATGTTGCTTTAAGAAGGGGCAAGCGACCAGAGTAAGTGCTTGTGATTCTGAAGCCAGCTTTATGCAATCACTAGTTCACTACTAATATGTGCACCTTGTTTAGATCATCATATGCTCCTGCAAGTACATGCTGGACTTAATAACAATTCCTCCTTATCTCTGAACTAGGGAAGCTTGGCCACTTGATGGAATGAAATTTGATACTCTTAAAGAACGTCATGCCAAGAGAAACCCAGAAGATCTTATCATTGACTATGGTGATCATCGATCATTAATCACTTGTCTAATCCTTCCTTATATGAATATTTTGAAAATTATGTTTACTATTGTTCTTCCTTTTTGCTTAGACGATCAATTTCCAAGTGAGGAAGATGAAGAAGCTCCTGGCAGCGACGAGGACAGTTTGGTCCCATATGCTTCTGATACACAAGAACTAAGTCTATTCCATGAGAGTGGAGAGGAGGAAGAGGAACCCATCCGTGCTGATCTTGGAGGAGGCTGGGGCCGGATTATATACAGCCCCATTCGAAGAGGAAGACAAGTACAGATGGATGTTTGCCGTGCCACCAAACGGGATGCGTCTGAAGGCGCGTTCGAGCGTGTGGTGGTCACACAAAGCAAGAACCCTGCTTTGCATCTTCAGGCCCGGAAGTCGCTTTGGGGTGACCTTTGGCCATTTTAGGCTACAGATTCTCCAAGCTTGGTTGTAGCCACATTTTAGGGGGCTCCCAGTCTGTTCAGCAGTGGACTCGCTCGGCGAAAGTAGAATGTGGTGTTGCTGGTGCTTCTGTCAGTGCTAAATTTTGTTTCATCAGTATTTGTTTTTGAAAGGTTTTGCTTCTTCCACTGTAACAGAGCTAGTCAGCAAAGCTCGTCTCAAATTCTCAATACCAGAAAGACGAACATTCATAACATCCTATTTTTATGATTGAACTTGCGTGAATATCTTATACATGATCAGATGAAATTGATGCGATTGCTTTTTCTTCTCCTACACATCAAGCAACTTATTATCTGATTGTGGTTAGAAACTCTGGAGGTTTAGGGTTGATAGCCTTCCCCGCCTCCAAGCAATCTGGCTTGATATAAGAGCATCTCTAGCCGTTGGCCCCCCAAGGGGCGCGTAAAATCGCCGCCTGGGGGCGTGCCGGCGCTAAAATCGGCGTGGGGGCGAGCCGGTTCCCAACCGCTGGCCCCAGGGACGCCCCCAGACGCGGGCTTATTTAAAAAGAAATGGAATTCAGCAAAAACATTCGGCTAAAGTTCGGTAAACTTGACATATATTCGACATGTTTGACGTTTTACATAAGTTATTAAAAAAAACCTAACTAAGGGGCGAAGAAGTCGCTGAGCACGGCGAAGTTGCCGACGTCGCCGCCATCCTCGTCGTCGTCGGCGGCCTTCTCCTTGACGTGGCCGCCCCTGTTGGGCCCTGCCCGGCGTCGCCCTGGCGGACCGGTGGCGGCGGCGCGTCGTCGTTGCTGTCGTCGAGGACGACGACGCCTCCCTCGTCCCGGCCACGGTGCCGTTTCGAAGCGCTCGTAGGCGAGGCGCTGGCGCTCCAGCTCCGTGTGTGCCCGGTCTTCACGCGCCCATTTGAGGGCCGCCGCGTCGTCGACCTCCTCGCCGCCGGCGAGCCCCGGCTCCGTCTTGACGACGGCGAGGCCCGACTTCGTCTTTGGCTTGACGGAGCGCGGGGGAGCCGAGGAGGAGGCGCGCCGGCCGCCCTCGTTGATGACGATGCCGGCACTGCGCGTGTGTCGGCCGAGCGGCGTCTCTGCGGCGGGCTCGGCCTTGACGTCGAGCAGCGCCGACGAGCTGGAGGAATGGGAGGAGGAGCGGGAGGAGGACTGAGAGGAGGACGAGGAGGAGGC